AGTTTCACATAACCTCATTGTCTCCCATGAAGCCCAAGGATCAGCAAAAGCAACAAGAGAGGATCCCCTTCCTTGCTTCTACCCCGTCCTTGAAGCATCAAAGAACAATGATGATGAAGCTTCGAGGGTCACCTGCCCATCTTTGTTCCTCGAGTGCACCGTCGCTGTGGAGAATCCCGGCAAGAACGAGTACTCGACAAACCGCAGGCTGATGAGACCCCCAAACACATTTCACAGCACCCCCACCGCCGCAAGAGTATCACCGCTCGTCCAAGTACCCTCAGAACTCATTGCCTTCAGCTGTCAACGACGTGTTTCAGTAGGTTACGCACCACTTCAACAGTCGCCAACACCCAACAAGAGTCCTACGGCAACGAACGGTGACCTTCCAGCGCCCAAACTGCCCTCCCCAGTTCCTTCTCTCTGCCCACACCAAAGAAGCAGCCCTCCGCCGTCCTCCATTAGACGTGGATAAAGCCGAAGGAAGCATAAGAAGAGCAGCTGCAGCGCCCTAAACATAATTCCCAAGTTTCTCTGCAGAACACACAAACACAACACCCACAACCATGCTGCCAGAAGGTAGCTTCATCAGGGGAACAGACATCCAAACGCTCAAGGCACTTGTCCACAAACTCCCCAGCACGATGACCCTTTGCTTCTCACACCTCCCTTGCAACCGACGAGCCTCTCTGTCGTACAGGTGAAGCATCCAGGAGAGCAAGGTTTACTGTCTGCCCGAAAAACCTCCCACTGCCTTCACAACCCAAGCTGCAGCATCCAAGATTAGTGAGGTTGCACTACCTAACGCATAACGTACCCCACTGCTGCGCCAGAAGCAAACAACCAACCAATAGCATTACAATCCCGCTGCGTTGTGGCGAAACCAACCAGCAGTTCACCGTTCCCACGCCGAAACTGCCACATCATTTCACCGACAACCCCAGCACCGAACAGCCCACGCTGCTTTCGCGCTCTACTGCTCTCACATGTACAGCGCCTCTCTCGGGGTTGACCCCTCACACACCTGAAAACCACACCTCTCACCAACGGTCTGTATCACTTGCACAAGTACTCGTGCGCTGCCGATCACCTGCTTTTTTGTCACAACTAGTCGAATGTCTCTGGGTTTCGCATTTCCTGCATCTTTAAAACAAACATCTATATGCTTCGTGCTTTTTTCTCACCTGCTTTCCCCGCTGAAGCTCAAAATGCCTTGGAAAGTTGCTTATTCATGGTGCATCATCACAGGCACCAAGAAGCCAGCAAAACGCGCTTAGCCATGCAAAGCCATCGCAAGGTCCGACAAAGCCAAATAAATAGGCTCCCATATTCTTGATCATGTTGGAAACATAACGCCAAAAACCGAATTCCAAGGTGGGGGGGCGTGACAAAGAATCCCACACACCATCTTCAATCCGCCTAAGCAAGGTGACCGCAAACTCCTAGACAGTATCCAAATTCAGGTACGCAGGTTGGAAGCGTGCGCCAACACTGGTGCGAAAGACCATGTTGAAGGTGGGAGATCAGATCTAAATCTGTACAGACCGCAGCCCAATTACCTCGACAATAGCGACTTGATTGAGAAGAAACGCTTAAATACTGGTGACCCGAACTGATCCGTCAGTTGCAAAAGTTCAGCTGCAGTTCATTTAAAAAGTAGTAGAGCTTTCAGTGAACATCATATCTGCATTTGTATGAATGGAGCCTGAAATATGGTGGTGGAAATTAAGTTGCAAGACGGAGGGGCTTGATGAAGAAACCCCCACACATCTTCAACCCGCCTAAGCAAGGCCACCTCAAAGAGCTGCATAGCCTCATAATTCAGGTACGCTGGTTTGAATCGTGCCCCAACATTGGTGGTGAAAATTATGCGGAAGGTGGGATGTCTCGGGCTGAAACTGCAAAGAAACCGAGCCAACAGTGAGGAGAACACGGCACTACACTCGTCGAGATGCCTCCTCTCGAGACGAAAAAAATGAATTCTATACGCTGCATATCAGAACATTTGCGTCAGCTATAAAAAAAAAGCAGAAATCAACTTGAAAAAAAAGTTTTCATGTTCGATGAACAGTCTACACCCATTCTACGCCACGGTTGCCTCACGCGGGCCGTAGGCATTGTCCACCGGTTGGGGCTTGTGCCGATCCAGTCAACACTTGAACTGACGGTAATTTAGTGTGAGAATAAGACGTACGAATATGAGAGTATAAATATTCAGAGTTTTTGGATGATCCGTTCTGAGTCCTTTTCTCTGCGATATTCCTTGCTAATACAGTAATTCAGGTGTTTTCAAGAGCCCAGGGCCCCCCCACGGCAAACCGGCGTGGATGCACGAATGGACCGGTTGCTGGATACATCATAGTAGAAGCGTCCATTCGCCTTTCCCTTCAAATTTTTGCCTAATTTGTCATGCAACTAAATCTTTTTCGATTCCGTTCGTCTAGTACGTTCGTGCAACGAAGCTAATAATGCACTCTTTGAAGCACGTGTCATCCAACCACCGAAGACAGAGGTGGCGATGCCGCAGCTTGCGGTGGTCGGCAGATAGACCTGCCTCAATGTGTTCGGCGAGCACTCGAAGTTTATTTACTTGTAAATTAAGCATACACCCTCAAAAAGTCTCTGCTTAATTGCCTGCCTCTTGCGCACCCCACAGACCTCTTGGAACCAATGGTCAGCACTGCGAAACACGGATCGAACAGTAGTTTTCAACTAGTTAGTATGGGCAAGCTAACCAACGCTTGTTAGAGCACCTGGAACTAGCCGTAGTCTGCAGAGAAGATTTGGCGCAGCACAGTGAGCGCGCTCGGTAGAGACTCAAGCCCTACTCTGAAGGCCAAAACTACAGCAACGAAGAAGCCTAGAAAAAGGAAGGAACAAAGTGCGTGAAAATCGCTCTCAGTAGTTTGTCTATGGGGCGTCCTGACCCTCAGCAGGAGCTGAAGACGAAAGAGATATTTGTGCCTTTGTTCAGGGTGTTCACCGCTTTGAGCAGTTGGCCAGCGTGACGTACGGCTGAGGTAAGAGGTGCAGGAAGTGTTGACGGGGACTCGCTGGTGGACGAAATGCAGAGAAAGAAGGGAACCGTTTTCTGACTGAACAGGAGGCCGGGCCCCTTTGCCGCAGCAAACCGAATCGAGCAAGCTTCTGGCCAGTCATGCAAATGGTACATCGATCCTCCATGTTTAGGTGTATCGTTGCTTGATCAAATCCAAATTAACAAATGATAAGCCTTAGCTCTTGTTAAACAACCAGAAAGTCGTACCAGGCTTTAGCTTTCGGTAAACAAGTGATAAAGCCGATTACCATCTGGTTTGTTTGATTCGGTTCCTGCTTCCGCCCCTATAGATTTAAACCTGATCAAGGACCCCTTGGTTTTGGGGTATCTCAATACACCTCAACTTTCCATCGTTTGCTAGAAATGAGGGATTTGAAGAAGGAAGCAAAATCTACTTGGTGGCGGAGGCAGGCGGCCTGAATTGCCCCTTTGATGGGGGGCACCATGTCTTTGCGGCCGCAGAGGTAGAGGGGGGCCCCCTCCCGCAGCAGACGCAGCAACAGGTCTCCGTCTCTTTCCATGAGGTGCTGCGCAGCAGGAACAGCAGAAACGACGCCACAGCAGCAGAGGAAATGCATCAGAAACCGCCCGTTCAAACAAGTGCAGCAGGACAGGAAAAAACTCAGACACAAACGTATAACATAACAAACAAAGGGACCAGCACGGAGACAGAGACATAATGAAACTGATATGCAAAAGAATATCAGGCAAAGCGAGGGAGGCAAATGGATGCAGAGAGAGGAGAACCCCCGTCAAGGAGAAGAAGCGCAGGAGACACAGGAGACAGATGGCCTATGGCACGAACGCTACAGCTGCTGATCCCGCGCCCAGCAGCAGCGGCAGAAGCAACAGCAACCGCAAGAAATTTCTGTTTCAGTCAAAGCTGGAGACTATCCCTGGCTGCTGTTCAGTCTCACCTGTACATACAGCCGGCCCCCATCTGGGGCATTTGCCTCTCGGGACAGCGCAAAGTGCAGCTGCAGCAGCGACGGCGGCAGCTGCTGTTGCAGCGCTGTCCACTCTCTCTTGTACGGTGTGCTGGCTGCAGTAGCCGCCCCCACGTAGGCAATTACGGGGCCTGATGAGAAAAAAAAGGATGGAGACACACGAGATCAGAGGGACCCCCTCTCATATATCCCGGCAGTTGGGGCCCCCAGCAGCGGGGTTTAGGGCTTTGCGCTCGAGAGGAGACACATTGAAACAAGAAAGCGCCGACAGATCAAACTAAAGTTGCTGAGTTCTGCCGCCTTTTCTCGGGTGCTCTATGGTTACAGCTGCAGGAGTCCTGATTACGTTCTGCTGTTTTTTCTCGTGTCTCTGCGCTCCACAGCACGCTAACATCAGCAATAGCGGCAACAGCAACACCAGCAGCAGCAGTGTCTGCCGCAACGACAGCAGCTGCTGCAGCAACAGCAGCAGCAGCGAAAGCAGAAGCAGCAACCTGAGCAGCAGCCATAGCGGCAGCAGCAGTAGCCGCGCGTCATCGACGTACCAGAGCGTCCCTGGGCGACAATCCTTCGCATGAAGCTGCGGAGGGGGGCGACTCCTGTGCCAGTGCATGCGAAGATAATAGGGACATTTGGGTCTTCTGGAAGCAGGAGCGATGCCCCCACGGGTCCTGAGAGCAGAGGAGAAGAAGACGCAGAAAAGCTGAAAGAGACAGATTGATCCAGGGGAAGGGGACAGGAGACAGCAAGCAGACTGTAGCAGCCAGGAGGCGGGCCCAGGATAATGCAAAGGCCCCTGTGCACTCCCGACGCTTATAAAAGACCTGCAGACTTCGCAGCAGCAGGCGCTACTCTTCAGTCTACAAACGCAGCAATGCAGCAGCAGCTGTAGCTGTGGGACCATTCCCAGCGGCAGAAGCGGCAGGAACCGCAGAAACATCACTTCCAGCAGCAATTCCAGCAGCAGCGAAGGTAGCAGCAGCAGCAACAGCAGCAGCAACAGCAGCAGCAACGGAGGGTACGGGCGTGAATTTCTCGGGTTGCTGCATACCCGCCACTTCAAACTCTGTGCCGATTGGCGCCGAGCAGAGGAGAGAAGAGCAAAGGCCGTCTTTAGAGGGGTCTTCTTCTCCATCTGCCCCTCTGTATCGGTGTCTCTTTACGCACTGCAAGGCGACAGAGAATAGATTAGAGAACAGGAGATATAGTAGAGGGCACAGCAGAAGAGCTAGGTGTAGGGACAGCAGAGGAAACAGACGAAAGCAGAGAGAGCAAATGAGAAAGCAATGGAGACAGGTGGGCAGCAAGGGGGACAGACAGAAAAGGAGAGTGCAGGGGAGATAGGTGTAGGGGCACCAAATAAGACAGTCGACGACATGAATAAACAAACAGTATAAAGAACGTCAAAGAACAGCAGAGGATATTAAAAAGGAGACAGGGGACAGAACAACGAGGAAAAAAGAGAGGCGGAGTGGGTGGCAGTGGAGTTGCTGCTATTTCCAGTATTTTCTCTGGTTTGTCCCAACCAGTATCAACACCAGCAGCAGAACCAACCGCCAGCAGCAGAAGCAGCAGTATCACCAGCAGCAGAAGAAAGAGAAGCTAACACCAGCAGCAGAACCAACCGCCAGCAGCAGAAGCAGCAGTATCACCAGCAGCAGAAGAAAGAGAAGCAGGGGAGGCAACAGAAGCAGCGAACTAACAGAAGCCCCAACAGCAGCAACCAGCAGCATGAGCAACCCCAGCAGCAGCAGAAACATTAGCAGCAGAAGCAGCAGGAGCAACAGCAGCACGAGCAGAGGCAGCAGCAGCAGCAACAGAAAAGAAGCAGTTGGTAGGAGTTGTGCGCCGTAGCTGACCAGCGAAAACGAGTGCTTGAGGCCTTGTTCGGGGGCCAATGGAGAAGAGGCGACGCTGTAGAGTCTGGGCTTTGCAACGGAGACAGGCGTCTCCTTCTGTTGCTGTCTGGTGTCTGTGAGGTTAACAAAGGAGACACTTTGTCCCTCAAGGTAACGAAAGGGCTGCTGTGTCTCTGCAGACACCACAGAGGGGTCGTAAGAGAACACCAGGTGGTGAACGTCGATCCCCCCTCCTGGAGACCCCACGCTGCCAGCCGAAGGCCCGGGATCGGATCCCAATGCGATCCCGGGATCGGATCCCGCTGGAGACTCATACGCAGAGTAACTCGACGCCAACTCCCGGTGCTCCAGACGCACCTTCAGAGGAGACAGCCGCGAGAAGCTGAAGCAAAACAAAACAGAGGGCAAAAGGTGGATGCTTGATTCACAAGTATGGGGTGTCTCCTCTTTGTGTGATCTCTTCTGCCTGACGTATTTTTGTCTCCCGTCTCTGTCTCCCTTCGTTGTCTCAGATCCTTGTGTCTCTTCTCGTGTGTCGGCCTTTCCAGTCTGTTTGCTGACGTGTGCCACGCGGGCAGAGAGTGCACACAGAGAAGGGAGACACAGACGGAAGAGAACGTCTGCTCTCTTGCTCCCGTCTCTTTCGCATGCAACTGCCGTTCCCTGCAGCAGCAGCGCGTACAGGTTTATGGGGGGCTTTGTAGGTGCTGAGGCAGCACGGAGCGCTGTTGTTGTTGGGTCCTTGTGCTGCTGTGTGGGGTATAGCCTGCTCAAGAAGACAGACAAACACCCTAGGACTTAAACCCTAAACCATAAACCCTCCTGAGCCAAAACCCAAAACCATAATCCCCCCAAAGCCAAACAAAGGCAGCGCCAGAAAACCCTAAACACCAAAATATAAACCCTCCTGCTCAACGCACCCAGCAGGCGGATGACGCAACGCATCGGGGGAGACACCCCCCTGTGCAGCAGGCAAATACACCCCAACCTTAAAGCCATCGCATCTCTGCGTCGCTGTTAGGACCGTAAGGAGACCCAATACCTGCAATAGGAGAAGCATTAGCAGCAGCAGCAGCAGCAGCAGCAGCAGTACCTTCAGTACACCTTTTCTGCAGTGCTTCGGCAAGCTCCAGTACAAGAGACTGTAAACTGCCAATTCTGAGCCCCAAAGTTTGAATCCTAAAGCCTACACCCTGGACCCTAACCCCCCGGCTTTCGTGAGATGATGAAGCCTCACGTACCAAGGCGATGCTCCGCACAGAAGGTTCAGGAGGGGAAAGGCTTCTTCGCTCCATTGCTGCCTCGAGGGACTGCTGAGTGTCTGCCTGAACCCTAAGCCCTAGGCACTTTAGCGTGACATCTCCATGGTATATCCCGCAGCTAAAGGATTCTCTTCTCCGCTCCCTTTCCTCCACCGTAGGCCCCACACAAACCCACTTCGCGTTCGGGAGGAGGTTGGGGGACTGGTGTGGGAGATCGAGTGTTAGAGGTGTAGGAATTGAGGCTCTGTGCTCAGTGTTTACAGTTTACGGTTTAGATCACTGGACTTCCGCCGGCAGACTGCAGTGTCTGAGGGGTTTTGAAGGGGCTCCAGAATTCAGATAAATAGGGGAACAAAACAGAAATACAACGTATTGACTTCTCTGTCTACTGGCTCGCAGCCGACACGCTTGAGGGGGCCACGAGGCCCTCGTCAGGTGCAGGTACAGCTGGTGCCGGGGGCCCGAATACACAACTCAGATGCAAGCCAACGCCTACGAGAGATAGAACAGATATTTGCAGCTGCTTAACAACCGGCAACCGCTGAAGGGTGGCTCATCAGGGGGGCCCCGCCAGGGGCCCCCCGACGACCCCGGTTGGGGGGCCCCGGACGGGGGGCCCCACCGTGAGCAGTTGAGGGCTCTGCCACCGAACTGGAGCTCATGAGCAGTATTTGAAGCAATATACTAGGGTGTATACAAATAATGACTAAATTGTAATAGATTAAAGTTCTAGCAAGAAACGTACAACTCGATATTTCTTTCGTTTACACGATTCGGCTTGTGTTGTGGCGAGAGGAGACACCGAGACTTTCTGGTATGCAGGGATGCGCTTTTCTGCTGTGTATATATTAAACTCTTTTATTCATTCTGTAATTAATTTAACTTGGAATTTAATTGTTTGTTTTGAAGTGGCCCCCTGCTGGCCCCGTTGGTATATGAGATCGCTCTGCTCCAATATAACTGAACATCAGGAACGCCACACCACTGGGGGCCCAGGAGTACTGGTACTGCTCTTGCTGCTAATATTATCGACTAGAATTATAATGATAATAAATGTTACCACAATTACTATTGATCACTAGTGGTTATTATTGAGTTTTATGATTGTTTGTACTATGGATTTTTATACTTGTCACGGAGCCCTGAGAGCACCGAAGCAAACGTTACACCAAACAGGAAAAGAAGGACACAATTTATGTGCAAGCATTCGAGTGGAAAGACGAGCGGACGTAGGGCCACCGCACGGCAGCGATCCCCTTCAGTACTACGCTGAGTCTTTTAACTTTGCCTTTGATCCGTGGTCCTTTTTCGATTTCCATATGGGTTAAATTATACATATATATATATATATATATATATATATATATATATATATAATAAGTGCTGTAGAGTCCCAAATGATTAGGACCCTCTATCTGTCGGTCCTGATGTTGCGTAGTCAGCTTCCTTTCGTGTTTAGTTTGCGCATGAAGAGCCCTCGCCGCAAATATACTGCGGCTTCTAACCCTTCTTGCAGCGCAGTTGCAGCAGTACGCAGGAGCCTCCATCGGTTGTAGCTGTTGCTGCTGCAGCAGTAACTGCTGCTACTGGCGAAGTTAGCCTTTGCTCTCTGCTGCTTTTTGCTTCTTCTCCAGTGACAAAGAACAAAGATTGATCCATAGCGATCTCTTCGCGTCAGTTCCGTTTGCCTTTCGCAAGTGTTCTGGCTTGTGGATGCCTGCATGCGTAGCTTCAAGCCGTCAAATTTCTAACTCGAGTAAACCCTGAGCTCACCAGCATCTACAGAGGTAAGATACACCGTATCCTGCAAACGGCGATTGCGCCGGGTGTCTCTTTTCCCGCGCCTCGCCTATTTACGGTTTCAAGTCGCTCACAGGAATGCAGCAACGAACGCCGGTGCCATTTCCAAAACAACACATTACAGCGCTCCTTTCGTTGCAGATAACTGAACAGTGAACAAGTAGCGAGCTACCGTTAGCTCTGAGTGCACAGAAACTGCTGAACAACCCTTTTGAGAGCTGCCACAGCAGTATAGTCGTTCAGAGAAGAAACAACCTTTCCCGTGGTTTCCACCTTCCATCTACAGTTTAGCCAGTTTAGTGCATGGTATCGCTCACCATGAAAGTCTGTGCAAAGTTGCAATGAGCCTGACGCTCTATGCCGAATGCGGAGCGCTGAGTCGTGTATCCTGGTTCAGGTGAACGGCCTCCCTGGTCCAATAGTAAGCGTACAGGAAGTTAGGGGCAATAAGACCTACTATAAGATGACGATCCTGCCCGGCAATAGACTTTGATACCTACGCCTGGGTCTGCATAGGTGTATACGAAACTAGGGTGTGCGGTCTTACGCGAGGACAGCCATGAGCGGCAATACATAAGCTGATGAGACAGATAATAAGATAGGTGTTTTAGAATAGCCAGTCACCTCCTCTCCATTCCCCAGGCATCCTGGACACAACTTCACAAGGGCCCGGTGCAGGTGCTGAGAGGAAACGTCATGCAATGACTGCATGGATTCAGCGTCCAGGACTACCTGGCGCTTTATAACGATTCCGCCTCCTTGCAACGCAGCCTGCTGCAACCACTGCAGCAAGGCAAACCCATGTGCAAGCAGAACCAATCCTCCGGTTGGTGCATGCCTGAGCACTGTAGATAATTGTTAGGCGCTTACTTAGCCCTCGCTAGGCAGTTTGCATCCAGTGAAATGCATCCATACCGGTTCCAAATACACCGTGCAACGGAACCAGTTTGTTCTTCCCGGTAGTAGGGGAACATATCAACCGGTCCTTTGGGCTGAGAAAGCGAATCAGCTAAAATCCTCTTTGGCAATGCAGAGGCGTGGTGAATACACGTTATTTGCTGCCAACTAAAGGGGCAGCACAAAACATAAACTGCCCAGCCATCAGCATTCCTTGCAAATGGGTGGAAATAGAGGCTTTATCAGTAACACACACATTTCTAGCCAAAATCGTGATTTGTATCCGGGGGCTTGAAGGTCTTGCCGACAACGCATAATGCTCAGGGAGAGGCGGCGGCGATCTGTGTCAGCAGTCTCCGCCGTCTTTTCAATGACAACCAAACAAGCCCACAGAAAGTATCATGTTCCCAAGGAAGCGACGCAAAAGGACGAATTTGATTTTTTAAAACGCTCAAATGCACGGCTAAACATAGTTTACAGTGCGAACACGGGCCCCTCCTCTATGCTTCGGTCGTCACCACTCGGGTCCCCCCGGCGCCCCGCTTGTACATTGACACTCGTCCCGTTGACCCCTTCCTCGTTTCTACTTCGTTTCAGTTGATCGTTGAGTAGAAGGAAAACCTTGGTAATGCTATGCAGGCTCAGGAGGCATTCAAAGCCAAATTATCCCGGGACAAGCAGCCACCATCCCACTTTTGTAAGCTCCTAGGTGCTCGTATTCGACGTATCGGGGAGAAATGTGGCTGTATCCAACACGTGGAGGAGGACTAGAGCATCCTTCTGCCAAAGACACCAGAACTAGCTGCCGCTGCTGCCTTTTTGGCGGCAACAAACGCAGTCCCCCAGAGGAGACTGACACAGATCAACCAACTCAGCAGCAAAGAGACAACCAGACGGCAGTAGCCCCGGTTCCCTCCCCTCCGTCTGGGAATTCGATAGTAAGGGATAATCGTCCTGTTGCTGGGGATCCCGTCTCATTCCTTTTCGGGACTCCACGAAAGCCAGCGGGAGTGTCGCCGGCACCGACCGAACGGCCCCACGCGGAGGCAACGCGCACAGCTGTCTCAGCAGTTATTCCCATTATTGTAGGAGTAGCAGCAACAACTGCCACAGCTGCAGCTGCTACAGCCGCTTGCCCGGTGCTAATCGGCGCCGTAGGGGTCCATTCCTTAATAGCAGTCTCTGCTGGCTCCTTCTTCGCCGCTCTAGCGGGTTTGGGGGCCTCGGCGTACACAAGCATTCGTCTTGAGAGGCAAGAGGGGGCTGCGGATCCTGAATGCGCTTAAAACCAGCATTTTTGTATCTTCTGCCTGTCTTCATCGCCTTATCAGTCAGCGAGACTTCCGCTGCCTCGCAAAGACATGGGTTGCCCCTGAAAACAGACGTTCAACAAACCCTCTACCAACGAGCAGCATAGCAGCACATGTGACGTTGTTGGGCCAAATGATCTTTGCAGCGCTCTACAATTTGTCACGCACATTGAACAGCTGCACTGGCCTAAGTCTGATGTCGGAAGTAAGGACGATTGGATAACTTTTTTTGGCTCACGACAATTCACCAATGCGTTAAGAGCGGCAACGCGAGTTACAGAGTACGACGACAAATGTTTCAAGTAGCAACCAACGAAACTGTACAAAAGTGTAGCGGATCGAGATGAACCACGCACTCCTAAGCACCGTATCCCGTACTGTAGAGGGCTTGGCTGTGGGGCGTCCAGCCACCCCCCCCCNCCCCCCCCCACTCGATACGCCAAATTTTAAAAGGCGGTCGTGAAGACGCAGCTAAAGCGCCGCGCTACCTGTAAGCGTTAGCTGTATAATACAGCATTGAGTCTTGATAGTTGAAGAAACCACGCACTGAACCACTATTTGCATCAAGATATCAAGCGAAATGGAAGTGGGCTACTGCATAGTGAAAGCCACGTAAATCAATTACTATAGCAGTATAACTAAGAACAACCACAGCGTTCGTAGTTTTATATTGCCAAACCCATATAGCCTTGACTGGGAGTCCATGTTTACGCGACCAAAGCTGGACGTCGGGTACAAGCCAAACCTACCACCACCCATGGATCACCCTTAATTTGTATTTCGCCAACATCGTCGCGTGATGTTCCGTGTTTTTACTAAGTATACAGTACAAAATTGTTACAGTGCAGAGTGAAGGTTTGGCAAGTAGTTAATTGTTGCTGACATTCGGGGAAGTGCGGATGGCACGCTCGCTGTGGAAGTTAACGAGTCTATGAAATACAGGATGCATTTGCTATCAGACTGTGCGCACACGGGTTACGTGTCTTTGACTCCCTGGGGTCCTTTTCCCAGTTTTCCTGTATGAAGTTTCACTTTTAGAAGCACGGTGGTTTGAAGGAACAGTTTTTCGCATTACCTAGTCGCAGAATTTCGCCTCCGTCGGATGCGCGGGGAGGATGAAGCAGCAGTCCTCACGTGGTGTATAGAACATGTTTCAACTTCAAGAAGCACAGAGGCGTACCGGGGGTTCATACAGCCCTTGACAAGCTGTATAACACATGCTCACTTGAAGGGGATGTTTCACCTCCCTAGAATACGGCGGCACAGATGGGCTGAGCCCTCCTGCTCGGACCAGCAGTCAGAGCTGTAGGACATTTTTGTGCGGCTTTGTTCCCCAGAAAGCTGGACTATACTACCTATTTCTAATACCTGACAAATACCATTGGAGTTGTTCAACTACTGTTGTCGAAGTTGCCCCTGCCAGAAGCGTTCGCGAGCCGGTCGTTGCTGGGTAGGCGGAGGCGAGAACCGGCAACCGTCAGTCTAACCCCATAAATAAGGTGTTTGAGGAGAATAGGGGCTTCCTCCTATCTCAGAAAGAAATATTAGTCAAAAAGTTACACAGAAAGGAATGTGTGCTAGGTGGTCGAACAGCAAGGGAGTCACTTTTGTTCCCCGCCCTCTGGCTCTCCAGTATGCGCCCAGTGGACAGCAGCCGCACCCAGCTGTGTCCGTGTTGTTCGTCCATTGAAGTTCATGTTTGTTTTGTCGCAATTTTAAGAAGGAAAAATCCTCTTGGCATTTGTTTGGCCCCATCTAGGAAGAACCCAACAACACCCGAGTTCAAAATGTCGCTCCGTCGGCTGAGCGCGTTGGCGTTCTCTTCGCTGGTGGTCGTATTCCTTGTATCGCAAAATAGTTTGCCAGCTTCAGGAACTTTGTTGTCAGGTTAGCCTGAGATCGTTAAAGCCCCTGAAGTATATCCACATGGGGCCCCTCACACTCTGCATTAAGCATTGCCTCCGTCTGTTTTCTCTCATGAAACCTCTAGAACAAAGTCACGTCAAAGGCCCTTATCGTAACTAAAACCTGCTTTGCGCTGAACAGGTGGCCCTAATGAGGATACTTCCCCGGAAATTTCGCCACCTGAACCTGCTCCGGACCGGCCACGCCGTCGGGCCAATTTGCTTCAACGCGGGTTAAGAGCTGTTTCACTGCCTGTAGGTCTTGCTCTTCTGCTAGCGGAAGGCCCTTAGTGTGTTGAGAGTCTCGCTCTTTGTGTGCACCTCAGACCTCCACTACTTACACCACAGGAAACAGTTGGCCTCTTGCAAGCATGCCATCTCTTGTTTGGGATGTCTCAGGCTCGAAGAGTTCTTCAAACACTTCGAAGTGTACTCGGAAGGCGTCCTCGACAGGAAAGAGAGCAAGAGCTGGCCAGCATGGAGGGTGCCGCCATGAGTACGGCTCGCCTGCTGTGCAAGCTATTCCTCCTGCCCAGCTATTAGACCGATCAATGCTATATGCGCTAGCTTCACTGTGAACATTATATGTGCTATATGTCTCGAGGCGGGTGGGCTGTTCTGGGTTGCAGGATACTTCGACTGTTTTAGTCTGGGGTCTCCTGAGACGAAGGCGGCGAGCGCCGTTAGTGCAGTTTGTGCAGGGCTGAAAACAGAGGCCCTTCGACGTAACTGTTCTTTGTTCGCCTATTTCATTGCCGCCGTGCTGGGAAAAATTGGAGAGTGCTTATCACAGGCGGATCCAGCCAATTTTACCCAAAGAAGGGGTGAATATCTCTACAGCTGTTGTAGGGGAAGCCATCAAGGAGAGCTGCACAGCATTGCCGTAAACGGCTGACGTAGCTAACTTTCTTCACAAAGTGCCTGTGATTTCCTGTACAGAGTGCCTAAAGAAAAACCCTCTCTTTTTGGTCCATCCCATGCTGCGGGAATCTATTGCAGCAGCCTCACGTAAGCTTGAAGCCCTTAACGGACCTGCTCCCGCCGCCAGAAGCAGGCCTCAGAGATAGTCGAAGGTGATTCATATAGAAGGGTAGAAGCAATGGAGTGTTCATTCTTGTTTCTGGTTTGTACTGCGTGCGCAGCTGAAGATTACAACGATGCGGAGGCTTGGATGAGTTCCCTTTCAGTGAGCGCTTCCCCTTGTAGTTTCCTTGGGTGCCAGATTGTCGGTTTCGCTCAGAGAAGCGCAGCCGCTTATTCTTCACCAAGACAAGTACTTATACTCTTTATCTGGTCTGCTGCCTGTTACAGTTTGTCGCTGAGCCCCCCGAGGAATTTACATTTCCGGGTGGAAGCCCGTTAGGCCAGGCATACGCTAAGCTAAACTGGAGTCTCATTGGCACTGCGGATAACCAGCACATCCTCGCTGGCGACTATTTAAAGCAAAGCACTCGGAAGAGACGAGGTGTAGGAGGGCGCTTCAGGAACCTCTGGAAGAGAATCAGGAGGCTCCCATATCCAGTGACAGAAACGACGAAACCAAATGCTGAAGCTGTAAGAATGGGACTAGTACATATGCTGTGGATGCGCGTTAGGTCGACAACGAACAATTTGTTCTTATGGTAGAGACTTCTCGAATTCAAACTGCCCACATGCTACGCGTTGCTGTAATTGTTGTCACAGATCCTCACCGAAGGCTATCAACTTTTCATGAGCCTGCCCCCCCACCCTGACCCTGTTGCAGTCCGGCTGTTATCAACCATGCTGGTCGATGGGTTGTCATGCCCAGCTGACGGCACTTTCGGGAAGCCTGAAAGGGTTGTAGTAGGAGGTAAGACCAAGACCGTCAAAACAGCCCAACTGGTTGAAGCCGCCATCTATATAGTTGTTGGGGAACTTTTCGACGCCAGCGATTGTGCCGCTCCTGGGAACACAGACGCGCAAGCCCGCATGACCTGCAGGCTTCTTAGCGCATACGATGAATACATGCAAGCCGGTGGGCCACTGCAAGCAGAGCCTAAGACTGAAGAAAGGCTTCAGCAGATAAGCGGTGCGGAGTTTGAGGCAGCTCCTGCTCTCGCCGAAGCTGAGGCTAGAGATGAAGGCGAGCAAGCTCGTGGTTTGGAGGCCGGTGAACCCTCCAGTACTCAATCCAGTGTTATTCCCAGCACTCTGCCCTCCGAAACTAATGATGTAGATGAACGTTCGGAACCTTCCAGAGGCGCAGTAGAGGGGCCACCAGAACCGTCCCTTGAACTTCCAGCAGATCAGGATGTGGAGGAAACAGATGGGAAGAGGGAGCGCATACGCGTTTATGCTCAGCAGGCAGCTGCTTCAGCCGTCGCCACAGCCCGATTAAGTACGTGTACTGCATTGAAATAACTCAAAAGGAACTGTATGATATCAGGCCTCGTTCTGGAGAGGCTTGCGTGCTGGCATTTAGGTGAATGCCAAGCAGCAACACTCTCTTCGCCGCTACCGTTGTTGCTCATCTCCGCTTGCTGTGTATATGACACTGTTCAGGCTTGAAATCTGGTGCTACAACTCTTCGTTTAGTCCGCCTATGTCTGAAAAGTTCGTTCTTCATCCGCCATGTAAGTCGAATATTGTTGTTTTTCATGGGAAAAGAGCTAGTTTCGCAGCAAGGCCTGTTCCTTCTGCTCGGGAGAAAACGGCAAGCGGGATCGCTCTTGGGGATTTATATAAGGGCACTCGTAGAGCTCAGTTCAGGAAGCTCAAGCCTTGGAAATCTTTCAGCAGCAGCAACCGGAATAGCCGCGGATGAAGAAAAACGCGTCATCTCTGGGGAGCAGCAAACTCCTGCTTCATTCCTACAAGGTTACCTTAAACCTACAGTGGTGATTCGCACCCTTCAAGCTGCGGGAGTAGAAACTAACCGACGGACCGCTGTAGCGCTCGCCCTAAGCGTCAACGTGACAGTTGATATCATACTAGCTTTTCTGTTGGTGGCACTCAGCTCCGCTTTCCCACCGGCCGTGCTTGTTATGGCGATCGTACTAGCCATCCTTCTGTTAATCAGATCTGCTATTATATCTTACACTGTGGCCGTCCCCGAAACAATGATGGAGAAAATCGAGAGAAAGGGGAAGGGGGCTCTTGAAAAGGTAGCCAGGGTTGTTGGGTGAATATGAGTTTCCTGTGCGAACTAGCGTTTCGCAGATGAGAACTCCAATTAACGTAACCTGCTATCCAACAGCTGTATGCTTGGCTCGTATTTTGGCCTTAGCTGAATTTCACTAAATCGATAGCGTATTGTTTTGGGTCTTGAGGTGAAATGTTGGGAAGCTTTCAGAAGTTCAGTATCTTCAGGATACCTCCATTCCGTTTTATGGACCATGGCGCTTCTGGCCTTCGTTGTGGTGGTGTCCAATCGCAGCGTATTTTGTATTTAGTGCAGGCACGCACAACGCGGTGGCTCTCAGCTACGCAACCTTTTGTGTGCAATTCATTATTTTAAAAAAGGGAACTGCACATCGGTACAGCCCTTATTTGTTTGGTGTTTAGCAAATGAAAGACTGTCCTGTAAAGCTCAAAAGAGCTTTTCGCTTGGGGAATTTCCTACTGCAATGGAAACTTCCCTATAGGACAGCACAAGGACGCATATGTGTCCCCAGAAAAGCCTGAAAAAGACCTACCTTTTGTTTAATGTTTAATTTTTATTGCTGCCAGTACCCGCGGAGGCTGCTCAGGGTTCTTTGGCGAAGCGATGTTGAAAGTGGCACAATAAGGTACAAATGGATGGCTAGAAACTGGAAAATTTTCCCTTACTTATCCCATATGCAGCATATCCTTAGACAACTTTCGGCGTAAGAACAAGGAGACATGTCTAGACTGTAGCTCCTTCGTCTATCCCTCCCTGCAGCCCAAGCGCTTGTCATTGTAACCCTGAGTGGTAAGGATACTCCTTCCTTGAGAGGTAGGAATATCCCGCCAATCCAGCACTGCACTCTGGAGGGAGTCGCAGGACGGTGTGCCCGCAGCCGTTCACCTTCTAAATTCTAGACAGCAGGCCCTTTGATGCACCTGCACTGGAGTTTGTACAGTAACTTTTCCAGAGCACGAAAATGCAAGTACGTCGATGCCCTAATTCTTGTGCGTAGCATCTTTCACGACTGCTCCTGACTAGTTTTCTGACGAGACGTGGCACTTTAATCATCGCATGGGACCTGTATGCTTAATATGGGACCTTCGAAATAAACCAGGCACAGCCCGGAAAAAGCTAAAACTTCTATGCGATTGCTGAATGAAAGTGTCACTGGACTGTTGAAGAAGCAAGGTGTACGGAGAGACAGCCGCTTGCCCCGTCACTCCGCCATTAGTATGCTCTCTCCGGAATTGTCTAAACGGCGACGGCGCCCACGACTTGTGGAAGTTTGGTTTCAACAAAGACAGGCGTCGCCTCGATGCGTTTGCCTCGCAACCTCGTGCAAGCAAAGGGCACCGAATGCCCAGTAGAATACAGCGGAACTCCCGAACACGTGATTCTGCACCCATCATACGCCGTAGAGACGAAGGCTATTCTATAATAAAATCCCATGAGGGGCCTTTAGAAATATCAGAGCTGGAGCTCCGTCTATCCATGCTACCAACTCGATGCGGGTTCAAAAACCGGAAACTGAAGAATGTCTTTCTAAAAAGGAGCTGATTGCTCAGGGCCTCCCGACCGTCACAAGGGAAGTGCGCACGCTCGCCACTTAGGGAAGCAGCGAGCTGACCGTGCACAGCAAAGCACTCCCTCGGGGTCGCTTTTGTCTGTGGTCCGTCGGCTGCAAGCAGCAGACACGCTTTACCCGAAACTGCTGTTTTACGCCTTACGATACAAAGTATCGTGCAGGCCTCTATATGCCGTTCGCCTTCCAAAGTAGACTGTCACTCGGCACGGCCAACAATAGCGTTGCCAGGAAAGCGAAGAGATTTACTGGGGCACCATCAGCCTCTAAGTCATATCCTCCTTGCTCTGCAGTACAGTTTGGTAGTAATGTAAGATAGACTACAATAGCCGCAGGGCCATTCAAGGGGGCCTACAGAAAAGGTTCTACGTTTCCCAGAGTGCCGAATTTAGCCCCAAAGCCTGAAACCCTCCTAGCTTCACCAGAAGACGACGTCTAAGCAAGAAAGCTCGTCGCCCTTCCAGTTGAGTAACGATTCGACAGCTGCCGAGCAGGATGAAGGCAGGTGGCCCCAACGCTACGTCAAGATGCAAACACAAACAGTGGCTATACAACTGATTCGCTTTTTTAATGAAACCAGTTGAGAACGCCTAGGCACTGGTTAGAGTCTTTAGCGCCTTTCCTCCTACACAAAATGCCCGCTCTCCGCCTTGTGAAGATACATTCCAGGATATTCGTAGTTCCTGGAGCCGCAAGGACTCTGAAACCCTTCCCGATCTTTGCATAGCCGACAGGGCGGAAGCTAACTCGTAGTCTGCCTTCCAGTCAGATGATGTCCGCAAGCCACAGTTCCTGTTTCTTCTTCGCGAGAACCGACCGGAATTCTGTTCTGCTTTTAGCGAGTTCCTCATTCTGTCGCTGCACACGTTGGGCGAATTCATCAGAGGATAGCTTATCAATATTGCAAAGTAGGTCTCCTATATCTTTTATGCGTTTGCCAGCCACATCTCCGACAAGACGACACCGGTTTTTACTACGCGCTTCCGTTTGCAGCACGTCCGACATACTGTATGCTTTCTTGCCCACCTTGGCAATGTTGAAGACCGAACATTCCATTTTGGCGATTTCTTCGATGTCGCTCATGGCCGAAGAAGTGACCACAGAGGCAACGGTTGTAAGAAGCTTGTTCGTCTCCTCTGTCCAGCGAGATGCTAGCTGCACTAACGTCTCCATCAAATTTTTCTCGCATCTCAACAAGGTCTTGTAGGTCTGAATTGCCTCCTCTAATTGAGCCTCCGCCTGTCCACTTTCATCTCCAGCCTCTTTTGCGCGCCGAGCCTGCTCCACCCTTTCTAAGACTTCGTTTTGTCTTTCTTTCAGTCTCTCCACCTCATTGCCTATCTCAAGTAGGGCGAGCTCTGATCGCAAATTCCTCGAACGCGAGTCGAATTTCATGTTCGACAGGCGACCGGCGTCCATTATAGCTGTCACCAGGCCGCTGCCTAGCCTTCCCACTAAACGGCTGAAGACTCGGTTTGCTGCTGCTTCCGGCGACTCCTTTTGCTCCTCCACAGGAAAAGTGCCAAAGTACCTATTCGAGACTTCGCGTGCCACCTTCATCGCGTCCCCCGAGCTAATTTGCAAGCGCGCGGGAGCGGGTTTGCCACCTTCCTCCACACTTACTGGGATGGCGAATTCTGACAACCAGTCTAGATCTATGGGGCCTTCTGACGGCCCCTGATCCTCTACAACCTCATCCTCTGTGCGCTTTCCCTGATGGTAAGCTTCCCATGCCTTTGGAACCCCGCTCCGGCCGATTGCGAGGTCCTCATATTGCTCCAGCGTAAACGGGATATTCTGCGGTCTCAAATGAGCACTGCCTTCGAAGTACAAAGTATCACCGGCCATAAAAGGAGCGAATGCAACGATGGCTTTTCTTTCTCCATCAAGATCCCAGAATTCACTCCCCGGGTCCCCAAAAGGAGGATGACTTTCATCTAGCCCAAACACTCCCAAATCACGTTTCTTCTTAAGAGAATGCGATGAACTGCCTTGCGTGCACAGCTTCGCGCCTAGCAGGGCAAACACTCCAACTGCGGCGATCCACAGCAACCACTTGCGACCGCGCCTTCGAGGCAGTTTACCAGGACGAGCTACTCTACCAAGAGCTCCGTCATTTGGTGGATGATATTCATTAGGTGGCCATTCCCCCGGAAGCTTTGGACCCTCCACATAATTAGGCGCCGCCTCTTCCTCGATCCCGAGCCCGGGCACCGCTTTCTTTGCAGCCATCCTGGCGATTAAGCGAGGGGCTTCCCCCACTTTCGCCAAATTCCGTATTTATGAAAAAAGTGATCAATATAAAGCCAGGTTTAAGGATTTCGTGGCAAAGGAGGAACAGACTAATACCCCAACCGTGTTCGGCTCGCTTCCCGCTTCAGCTGCTCCAGCAAACCCACGGGGCTTCATGCGGACAGTTGCTACGTCCAAGTAGAGTACGAGGGAAGTTGATTGGTATACTTAAAATAATCCAGATTCGTATATAGGAGTCGCCTCTGTTTTCTCTGAAGACTCCCTGCTTCATATTTTGTAAGCCCTCGAAACGCGCAGCGCCCGCGATGTTCGTGGAAACCGTAACCTCGACTTCCCATATACGGAGCATCTCCAGATAGCGTTCGCCCCGCATATGGAGTCTAAGATTAATATACGACTTCTCTACACTGGGAACTGGTGGACTCTATTTTATACTGCGCATGCTCCCCTGGGGCGCCTTAGGGACGAATATGCCTCCACTTGCGTTGTGACGACTGCAGCATTGCACTGTAGTTTGAAGCTGGTACGTGTATATTCGTGCGCGCAAGCTGGTTGCTGAGGGCCAAGTAACTGACTAACAACTATATACGGTGCTAGCGCATGGACCAGAGGGGCCCTGGCTGTGCTCGCATGAGGGGTACTTTAGCAACACTAGTTGCAGCATTGCCTTGCAGCTCACCACAGGCTGCTTCCGCTCCGCACGAGCTTTGGCCCGCTGTGTCCAGGGCCCCTGGGGACTGGACGGGGGGCAGCGGGCTTTTGGGAACTCGCATCTCAAGTCCTTGCATGTTTTGCACCCCGCCTCAGTCTTCGCACAAGGTCAAGGATCCTTCCTCCACTTGGTAGCACCGCATGCTTCGTCCGGGAAGGCACCAGCAGCGAACTCCACCCCCCCAGGTGTGGGGCGTACAGTGTAGCATTGATGAGTTGCAAAAGCAACGCACCAAGAGTTACGTAGATATTCTCCCTGAACTCTTCAGGGGGCACAAAAAGTCAGCCCCCTTTTGTCTCTCGCATTACGGAAATTTGCCAGTACCTGCCTTCCAGTGGGGAGGACATCAACCGTGTGGCGCCTCGTTAAACTGGAGCAAGCGCAGTACCTGCATCACATCCTGGGGAAAGTGCTTTTTGTGCAAAATAATTAATGAAGGACGCTGCAACTCGTGACAGGCCACCTACTATCCCCAGCAGCATCAGCCAAAGCCTCTTGTGCCGTTCTGTCCGGGACACGCGGCGTCTGGGACGAAATGTCACCTGCCTTTGGGGAACTTTCCTCCCAAATATTTTGATTAATACAGGTCGCGACGATCTTCAGCACAAGTCGAAGACTCTCGTCACACTCGGCCCTCACGTGAGGGCGTCAGCTGGAGCAGGCTGCAGTCCCGTAGGCTAGCAGATCCCTAGTAGCAGCGCAGTTCATCCCGGTTGCGTCGGGCTTGCACACCATAAGGGCTCAAAGGAACAGATATGCTGAAGAATGGGAACAGTCAGTCCCTTTTGAACTGCAGCGAGACCGTCGGCCTCTCCTGTGCTGCATCGCTCTACGTTGCTGCAACTTCATTCGACGTGGCCGATGACGCAAGCAGGGACAAATCTGTATCCTCTTTAAATGCATTGAGCCGACACTACTGTCGATCGGTGAGTGCCTCTTCGTCTGATAGTGACTAGACGATATCAACATTTAGCCAAGAAACAGGTGAAACCCTATTTGTGACGATAGCCCTCGGTCGTAGCCGAGGACTACCGGTCCTCGACATGCAACAGAGCCAAAATACTGAGGTGAGAATTCTTCAAAAGCAGCTGACCTCCACTTCAGGCTCCAGGATTCCCGGGAAGAGCGACGCACGGGCCTGGGGCTAGCGTGGACAGGAGGCTGCCTGGTTGCAGTACACCTTGCAGCAACTCTTGCTGCAGGGCAACTCCACAGGAGCATATCCAACTCCCCTTCTTACGCAGGCACTAACAATGCAGACCGCAGTTAAACATTTACGTGGTCCTCAGTAGCCAGTCGGCACTCAGGTATGCACGCGTGTGGGGTATAGCTTGCTCTGTCTAAAACGTGTCCATGCTTTTCTACTTAAGTTCTCCATTGGATGCATGCGGGGACACTGTAGAAAACTGCTGAACACTCACTTGGATTTCGTTAGCCGACATGCCCCCAAACATGGATACACGCCTACTAGTTTCAGAGTCAGGGACAACGCCTTGCAGCGCATATGTTGGGGATATGCCAGCACTCCGCAGCCTAAAAACACCTCGCAGAATAACCACAAACCGTTCCCCCTCCAAAAAAAAAACGTCAGAATAACACAACTCGTACAGAGGCTAATTACCAAAAGCCCCCAGCACCCTGCAGCAGTACCGCCTACCGACACAGGTGCCGACTACAACTGAGCCCCAAATACCGGAAAGCGATATTGAAAGTCTCCCTTTTGATCTACAACCCGAAAGTTATCAAGACAAACTAAACTGAGACTTCAAACGCCCGTGTTGTTACGCTACGCACGCGGGCTCACCCAGCCCCAAACACTGCCACCAGTGCCTCGTTAATGCTGGATATGAGCCAGTTGTTGAACAATTAAGTAGTTAAATTCCTTTATATCCAGGCTTATTGAAGTCATCTTACCTCAGACTTATTCCTTGAGTTCTTTGCCCGCTGTAGTACACGGCATTACATACAGTAGGACTGAGGCCGCTGCCGGGACAAGGCTGCACGAGGATATACAGAACAAGACTTTAAGCAACTGCTAGGGGACTCATCAGCTCATAAATAGGAGAATGCCGCCGCAGGCGGCGAGTGATGAGGCTCCGGAGAAGGAGAGCCGCAGTCGGTACGCCTGTTGTTCCCCTAGTGAAGCCGCGTTTCGTCCATATTCACGGCTAACTTTGCTTCTTTTCTTCAGCCTGCCGCTGATTTCTGTTGATGGTCAGTATGCTATGCGTGCGGCTTGCGCAGGTCCCGCAGCACGGAAGCTAGAGTAGGGGGAGGAGCGGGAGAGAATGGCGAGGGGGGCTCAGATTCCGCAGCCGTTGTTGCGGCAGCAGCAGCAGCTGCTGCGCGTGCAGCTGCAGCACGGAAGGCAGCAGCAGATGATGCGAACTCAACCCTCACCCGGCTTATGCCGGCAGCAAGCAAAGTCAGAACGACGTATGCTCCTGTGGTAACTGGCCAGGAAGCTGCTGCTGCAGTAGCTGCTGCGGCAGATGCTCGCAGCAAGCTAGCGCAGAGTCTAAATGCAATGTTCCAGCCTCCCCCACCTTCTTCTCCACCGCCTGCATCTCAAGGAGGAGCGAATAATGCATCCCCGCCGCCGCCCGCTGGACCACCCCCGACTGCCCAGGCGCCGCCACACTCGGCTCGCGCGACTGTACACACCGAGTCAGATCGCATTGCGCGGCGGTTGTTTATCAACAACATCCCACCTGGTTCGTCTTCACATATCTTACACCAAGTGCTGGCTCTGACTGATAATGTGGATCCCTGTCTTTTTACATGCTGTTACTTGCATTGAAACTTTGAGGGTAGATGCGTAATGATGCAGGCGTATATGCGTTTGTTGAGCTCCCAGGCACAACCGAGGCCGACATATGCGGCTTCTTCAACGGCGCGTTACTGGCGGTCAATGCGCAAACAGGCTTTACGGATCTGTCTCTCGCGAGTGACAAGCCGCAGTTGCTACCAGTGGAGAGGTGTGAAGGCCTCCAGGAGAATGGCCGCTTCTGCTTTCTAGATTTGCGGTCTCACGAGTGGGTAGTTCTCTGCCTCAAACTCGACGGTGAGTCTGCTTCTCTTCAAACCAGAGCGTCTCACATGCGAGGTTGTCTGGCATGCGAGGTTGTCTGGGGGGAGCGGGGGAGAGCTCCTGCAGGAAGCATCATCCGGGCGATAGCAGATATCTGTGGGAAACAGCTGCGTGTCACACTGCGCATGTTAGGTATTACTTTCAATAATAATTCTCTTAGGGTGATGCGACCCAAAGAATATGTACAGCCACCCGGAGGCGACCCTGCGAAAACAGTGCACATCCCAGAACTCGAGCGGACCCCAAAGTAAGGCCTGAAACGTTCTCCAGTGAGCTCTGGAGTAGCAAGCCCCACGCGAACTAGTGCTCACATTACCCTTCTGCTTTGGCGTGCCACAAATCCCAGGCTGTGCGCTTCTTGCTAATGCATTTCATGCCGAACTGTCTCAATGCGCAGACCCGCAGAGAACGAGGTACGCGCTACAGCACCTCCACGAAGTGCAGACTGCAAGCTCTACATCCAGAACTTGCCGCAGGAGATGGGAGAGGACCAGGTATGGGGTGACGTCGTTGCACATGTATGCACCCGTGCTCTATCGCGCATTTATCGTCCTCTGCAACGCTCGCAGAGAGAAGCGCTCCAGCGCACACGTTTCCGCCGCTAGATATTTCTTCGGCTGCCTCGTTGTTCTTGTTGAAATGTGCAGGTACGCGACTTGCTCGAACAGTTCGGCAAGCTTAGAGTTCTTAACCTGATTAAGAACAGGCAAACTGGGCAGCACCGTGGCTACGGCTTTTTCGAATACGAAGACCCGGACGTAACGGATCAGGCTATAGAAGTAAGCGACGGGAGATAAATGAGGCTCCAGAGAGGAAGCCCGGTCGCTCCCCTGCTGCTGTCTCAGTTGTGCATTGACGTGCTCTGTGTACCTTGACGTTCTGCTCTCAGGCCTTGAACGGCTTCGTGTGTGGCGCTACCGTGCTTAGCGTCCAGCGATCGAACTTCATGCCTGACTTATTACCGACTAAACAACACACAACAGAGGTCACTGCTCTACCGGCTTCCACTTCTTACGCAGTACTGTCTGACCCAATCGTCGCCATTCAAGTCCGTTAAATTACACATTGTCGTTGATGCCTGAGGTTGTGAGGACTCGTGTATGTGAAATGTAGAGCAAACACGCTTGGGCTGTAGCATCAGAAAATTCAGAAGGAGGGAGCGCATTTTCCCACCAGGGCAAGACAAGGACAAAGACAAGGCAGTGCTAGCGAGCAACTTAGCACCTGTGTTATATTGGGCGATGCAGGTTCGGGCCGGGCGAACTATCGGGGAAAAGCCTTCGCGCGTTGTCCAACTCTTGAATACGATTTACCCCGAAGATGTGGTATGTCACAGCTGCCAGCCAGAATATCAGGTAGCCGCAGCTCTCCGTACGTGCTAGTTCTGTTGTGGATATGTGGATGTTGGCTGCTAAATAAGTGCAGCTGTTAGTCTGAATCTGACATGCCTTATGAAGCGTTGTGAATGTGCGTTGGAACATGAACAGATGACAGACGCGAGCCACGAGACGGCCGTCAAGGATATCCGTTCCGAGGCAGAGAAGTATGGGCCTCTAGAGGATGTCGTAATTCCACGACCGAATGAAGACTTGTCATACAAGCCAGGTGTGGGGAAGGTGAGCTCCAGTAGTTGATCTTTTCCCTACTTCCTGCCTGCTCTTCCATGCAGCCTGATGTGCGATTTGAAGGTCATTCACATTTGCCCTATGCTTGACCCTTGCGGCCGTGCGGAAACTTTTCAGGTGTTCTTGGTTTATGGAGACGTCACATCTGCCAGAAGGGCACAGCTCATGCTGAATGGTCGCCGTTTTGACCAAACGCGTGTAGTGTGTGCGGCTTTCTTTCCGGAGCAAAAGTTTAAGGAAGGTCACTATACGTTGACATGAATATACAGAGCACGTCATGTGCACTGTATCGTCAGTAAACAGATCTAAGGCCAGTGGGAAACTCGTAACACTGCATTAGTTTTATGGGTCTTTTGCTGTTTGTTCGCAACAACACAGACCTGACTCTGCAGCAGTGCGTATTTGTCTCCCAGCAATGAGGTTGTTTGCACGAGATACACCTCAGTTAATATGGCACGTTTACACCTCTCTTTGCAAACAAACCGAACCCCTAAACCATACTGCAATCACCATTTCTCTTATTTCTCCAGACACGCATAAAGAGGAAGATATCTCTTCCTCAGTTTTATTTTGAATGCATCTATTTCTGCAGCGTACAGATACAGTTGTTAATTCAAAATGAAGAATACTGAGGATATATCAGCTGCATGCACTTCCTGTCAGTGTACAAATTTATTCAGAAGGATATAACAGACGGTCAGTTTTGGTGTTTGCGGTGAAGTATAGCAGATTGGCTCATGATTTCTTTATGTTTATTATTTCATTTAGTTAAACTCTAAATACATTAACATTACCCACGTTAAATGAAATAAAATAATAAGGTCAGGTGTGCGGCATCGTGCGCAAATGAAACATTTTTTGCTAAATATATTACTGAAGGATTTTCAAAACATTTAAATGCCGTATTTGCATTGTTTTCAGTGCCGTTTCAACGAACAGGAAGGCTGTGTGCAGCGCGACAGGCACTTGAGTGGCGGGACGTGCTGACTGGAACATCCCTTTACGTCAACTATTTGAGGCCATATTCAGGGAGCCCAATTTATTTTTAATTTAAATACAAAAGCGTTCAAAAATATTGTGAAGTTTCCACAAAGAAAGCGTTAATTGCGTTCACTGGTGCAGGAACCAGTCGTTTACACGTCGGCAAGGAGGCGGTCACCTAGCGAACACAGAGAGGGGTGTACTTGTTCTTTTGCAGCATAGGAGTTTCAAATGTTGTGCAAAAAGTTATTCGTCCATGTAGTTTAAACTAATAAATGTTTTATTTAAAAGGTTTCGTGCAAAAGTCTAAGTGTGCCGTCACACGAAGTCACAGCTGATCGATCACCCGTCTCGACGAGATCTGCAGATGTGGTAGGTGGAGCAAAAAAGTATGAACATGAATATTTTCGTCGGGAAATCTGCTTGAAATGAATTTACTAGTTTTATTGTGTTTGAGAAAACAGTCGAGGAGGGGGAAGAACGATAGAAGGCGGCATACTTGAACTTTCTCCTAGGTGATGAGGTGAAGCTCTGTGGCTGCCACGCGCGAACGACCTTCCTACCAGGCACTACCTCCTCCTCTTCTTCCCACTAGAGTGTGTTGTATTTGGCGTGCTTGGAGTACCTGAGCGTTTACTGTGTTGAATGGGCAACAGATTCTTCTTCTCCATCTTATCTCTCCTACTTTCTTCTTTTTCGGTTTTTGCATTTGTTGAGTTTTGGCGGGTTTCACCCCCTTCTTCAAATTGTTGAGTTCCTACAATGAGAGTCGCCGACAAAATCGCCGCTGCATTTGCCCTTCGTGCAGCTCCTGTTGCCCTTGCCAAAGAAACCGGCGAGGTGTGCGAGCAGGTGTTGTACTGCGGGTGCACTACACTAGGGAAGCTCTATTATATCAGCTAGTACACTTATAACGCTTGATCTCTGGCCTTAATCAAGGTCAGACGCGAGCTGGAACGTAGATAAAGACTTAAAGCAAGATTTTCCCAAAAGCAACTGGCTGACCTTCCCCTGTACCCCGGCTGGTAGGACAAGAAAGCTTCACGTGTACACACAAGGAAGCTTCAGCGAAGCTTCCTTTGCTGCATGTTTTACCACTGAATGTACTTACAGAACGTTTGCATGCAACCTACCAAGGCCAAGTAAAGGCTTTGGATTCCTTCGTGCTTACTGCAGCTAGGGTCGGTAGGTTGGTCCATTTGCTCGTAGGATTTTAATTGATAATCGAAAGTCTACAGCTCAATAGCATTGTCAGATGGAGCTAGGCTTCCGGCAGAAGTACGCACTGGCTTTAGAAGCATGTTGATCACCATGGGTAAGCAGCAGAAAGAAAAGCTTCGGGGAAAATTCGGTGCATGGGCAGCAGGTTAGCCAGTGAAGGCTCAGCGTGACGGTTCATCTTTCAGCGCTGCTGAAAGATGAACTGTCACGCTGAGCATTCCAAATGGTGAGCAAGTTGTAAGAGCTGGAGCAGATTTCACGTAGTTCGTACTGAACGCTGAACTGGACAGCCACAAAGAAGGCAGCGCACTCGGCTGCGAAAATTAGAACATCACATTGTGCAACACTCACACGCACCACACCACAATGTTTGTCCTTACCATATGCCATCCACGCTTTTACGCAGAGATTTGGGTATGTTGATGACAGCGATGCTTACACATCAAAAGGGAGAAAGTCTTCTATCACCTTCTCCAGCAATATATTGTCCGCAAAACATTCTTTCCTCGTCGTTTTGTTGACATTCCAGCCGCCTCCCGTGCCTTCGGAGCCCCAACACACGTCTCAGAGGAGGCCTCTTGCACCCCTTGCGCCGTTTCG